CACTGCCTGTGCCAATATAAAAATGGAATTCTGGTGTTACAGACTATCTCTGAACTTGAAAGCCTGACACTCAACATTGGGTTTTGATGTTTTTGTGAAAGCCTAGGAAGCAACTGTCTGCATGAAAAGATAACTTTGATTAAATGAACTGCTATAATGGCAACATTCTTATGGGCTGTTTTCATTTTCAATGAAGAATGAGCCAAAGTTGCCAACATATCTGCTGACTGAAAACCCTAGCCACTCTACCACAACAGATAAAGGATCCCTTTAAAAATTTTCATAGATCTTGTCACTTATGTGCCATTAAACATAAGAAAAGTATTTAATAAAAAGCACATTAATCTTTCACTTCTCTTTTGCAGACACTAAAAAAAATGAAGTTCAATGGTTTAGTTCAAACTGGCCCTCCTTCCTAAGAATGTTTTTTAAAGGTTAATGCCCTGTGCATTTCGGAAAATAGTTCCCAGAAAGACATTTTATAAACCATGGTGAAAAAAACATATAAACCACATGTCATAGCTGTCCTTTTGTGATATTTTGATATACCAGCTTTATTGCATGTTCAAAAAAAGTCAACTTTCAGGAGACTTTTCCCTGTCTTGCAATTTCTGCCCTGCCATCCTACAGCTACCAAAGGGGTGCTGATGTGGGGAAGGTAGAGGGCTGCACAAAAATGTAAAGTTTGACTGTTCCGGTATAGTAACTTTGATACAGTGGAACCACTCAGCATTGTTTTAACTTCTTGACAGCAGTAAAGAAAAACACACACTGAGTTTATCCTCTGGTTAGTAAGATGTATTACGTAACATAGCATAGCCAGCAGATTTAGCTATGAATAAAATGAGCCTATTCCTTTCACAAATGTCAACGGTCAGTTTGGAAGTATACTGTAAATACAGCACTCACTCTCAGAGGGATGTCAGTTATAATTACTGTAAGTACAAATATTAGACCAAACGTATTCAATACTTATCAAACAAAGAAACAAATCCTCAAAGTAAAACTATTACTTTTCCCACCTATCCCCTTAGTTGACAACTGTAGATACAAGAATGTTTTGGATCTGGTTTTTCCTACATGAGTCTGTAAATCAGACTTTTCTACATGATGCCCTAAGGAATGTCAAGTCTTTACTCTTTTTCCTAAGAAGACAGCAACCAGGAGGAAGGTGAATTAAGGTTTTCAGGGCCCTTCCTGGAAAGCAGAACAGGCCAGGCCTGAGTCCTGGAAAGTAGAACGAGGATGGACCTGAATTCCATTGTACCTGATGAGTAATTCAAATAGTAGGAAAACCACAGTGGTCAGAAAAACCCCCAAACCAAAACAAACCAGAAAAACTTTCAGAGTCTTCTTCTTAAAAATTTCATAAAGCCGTAAGTTTATAAGGAGGGATCAACCCAAAATTCTTTTCAGCTCTAACAAAGTAAGAGAGAACAGGAAGATACACAAAAGCTATTGGAAACAGAGGGTATAGTGGAAAAGCACATCTCCATGCACATCTGTGTTGTAGCTGGAAAGTCAAGTGACAAAATCAAAAACATGAAATGCTGTTTTACCAAACACTAAGAATTTGTTCCACAACTGTGGCCTTCAACATTTGTATCAGCTCCAGCTGGAAAGATACCAGTGAAACACGGTTTACAAGGCAGTACAGTCTTGTGGATTGTATCCTGTAACTTGTTTATTCTTGGTTCTGAAGCTTTACTTTCTCATCTCTCCCTCAGATTCAGGATGCTCTGACTACTAGAGCTCTAAAGACAAAACTTTTCGTCTTTGTGCAATTCCCGTCTAGAGAGACAACTTGGCTTTCTTTAAGAATGGGACGGAGAACCGTAAGAATTAGAGACAGCATGACTAGTCATAACTCTTACACCTATGCATTGCAACTGTTTCCACCCATCATTAAAATATTTCAAGTACGAGAGTGTTGAACTGAAGAATTATATGTTGGATGGCACTGACACTGTGGCGTAAGGGAAGAGACAAAAGTAAGTGGAAAATATCCAAATAGCTCTTTCTGATGAAATAGAAAACTTTAGAAGCTAGACAAAGTTGAAGGGACAGTGGCTCAAATACTGCATGAAAGACCATCCCTAATTGTATCATCATCTCACATAGTATTCACAGGCAGTAACTACAGAATTTTCTCAGCAGCTGATACCTCAAATGAAACACAAACATAATTGTAAAAAAAGCATTGCCTCCACGTTAAAACACAATACCCACCAACCTTCCTTTTCCAATTATATTGCCTTTACTTATGTCTGCAAAATCTTTATGTAGAAGGAGTCTGAATTAGGACAGCTTATAACTGCCTCATCACTTGTCATTTGCTACAGCAAATGTGACAAGGAACCACAACAGAAAGGGTGTGCACCTACACTTAGGGCACTACGCTAGGAACAGATGTAAGTAGAGGCCTGGTTTTCTATAAAGACAAAACTATTATAATGCAGGATACACAGAAGCAGTGCAAAGTTTCCACTGGAAAATTTAACTGGTATTTTGCTGATGTTGATTAACTTCAGTCACGCTGGTAATGTTTCCAAATTATTCCTCCAACAGTGCCTTAATTTTTGAAGTAAAAATAATTAAAGAAATAATTTGTTGATAAAGAATACTCTTTTGAGAACGGCAGTAACAGTTTCTTTTTCACCCTAATCAAACACACACTTGTGGAGGTAAAAGTATAAAAATATATGAGAAAATGGAGTAATTTGTGTTCCATCCTCCCGAACAGCATATTTGCACACAATCTCTCAGACAGCTCTGGAAGTCACTGACATCAAAAGGGTGTACTGGCTCTGTTCCTTTGCAGCTGCAGGAGGCAAGATGTTCCTTCCACCTTGTATCACTGAATGGAAATCCCAGCCCATGAGACCAGGGGTCAGTGTGTTTCACCTCCCATGGAAAGAAGAACTGAGCACTAGAATTCCAAAGCTCAAGTAAGAGTGGATAGATTTACTCTGATAACCTATTCACATGAGTATCTGCATCACCAGAAAGTGAGTTTGGCTAGATTGTTTTCCCTCAAGTTATAAAATTGATTCCACTGTTCCCCAGAAGGCAAGAGTGACCCTGAAGCCTCAGTCACATACTTTGTGACTTAAAGAGCACAGGAGTTCACTGGAATTCAAGCTTGCTTAGCAAGGCAGAGTAGCCCTCTTAAAACGAATACTACCACTACATATCTTCATTTTTAAAATGCTTTAAAATCCAAATATACACTTTGCTTATGATAAAAGTGTGTACTCCCTATCAAACAAGACAGTGTTGTAGAAGACAATCCTTTGAGCATTTCCAAATAACAGCTAAGTACTAACACACTCACTTTTTCAATGCAGTCCTATTAAATAATAACCAGAGAGGCAGTTACAAACAAAAGAATTAGACTGATGTTTCAACATTGCAATGGAACAATCTTAAAAAAGCTGTTTCATTGAAAAGAAATGAACTTTCCACCTGCAGCTTTATGCATTTGGCAAACAGAACTTCACTTCTGCAATGTTATTTTAGGACAGAAAAAAAATGCATGCCAGAGTTAATCTTGCAGTGGATTAGAAGCTTTGTCTGAATTTCACAGTTAACATAAGCTTAGAGCCCACTATTCTACAGTAGTGAGCAGAAAGTCCAGTGAAACCATTTAAAAAAGATAAGCATTGGAAAAGTTCCCTCCCTCAAGGTAGGCAATACATACAAGATTAAACTCTGTTCAATGTAGTCCTCTCTCCTAAGAAAACCACTACAATTGTTTACTAAAAGGTCACTTTTTGATAAAATTAAAGTCTTACAGTCTGCTTGACTTGAACTGCACATCTACCTTACTCACAGAATACACATTGCCCCACTATTAACATTATGCAGAAAACTCCACACTGACTTCAGAAGATGAGTTAACAAGAAAGCCACTTCCAAAAGAATATCATCACAAGGGGAAAAAAAAAAAAGGCAGGAAAAAAAAGAAAACTGTCTCTTGAGGAGGGGTGATGGGTGAAAAATCAACTCCACTTCCCAAAAGACTTTGAAGTTCCCCATCTGTGAAAGGGAATCTCCGAGGAAGCTTCCAAAGTGCTTATTCTTTGATAAACATTATCCTAAGGAACTAAATCACAGCTTCCTATCTAAATGTCACTGGCTGCAGGAGAATGCAGATGTAAAATGCATTACAAAGCACGATGGACTCAGACAAGCACTTCCACAAAGTGAGAGCAATACGTACAATACAGAAACAGTTGTGAAATTGCTGCTTCCATGCCAAGGTACTACAAAGTGATTTACAATCCGGATAGAAATATTCCTTTAATTTTATGCTATGACTGTTCTTCCTGCAGTAAGTAATAAAATACTAGTAAAATGCCAATGTTACATGTGTCACGTTAGCAAGGAAGAGAAGAGATCGCTGCCAGCTTTGCAAACCTACTGTACTTCCAGGCTCCAGGAGAAAGGGAAAGTTAAACAAATATTCACACAGGTTTGGAGGGCTTTTTCTTCTTGTAGAAATTTTAATCAATCATATTTCTCTCCTTCAAAATGCATACAACCTGACCTACTGCAGTCAATTCCTACCGAATTGCTAAAGATGGATATAAAGGGAAAGCATACAAGTTCTTTCAAAGACCGAACTGAAATCTGCAACTTACAACACAGGGTGATTCTAAGTAACATTTTCTTTAAAATCTTAAACAGCAGACCTGCACAATGCTGTCTACATAATTATAAAATCATTAAATACAGTAAATTTTTTTCATTGTACTTCTCACTAGAGTCGCAAGATACCATGAAAACTTTTGAGCTTATTTTATTCAAGAGCTTTAAAGTTGCTCTCTGGTACCTGGACTTTGCCCTTTTGACTGACCTTCTTTCATCTCTTACATTATCTTTAATCATTCCTAACATGCTGAAAGTGAATTTCCATAGCAAAACACAAGCACTAAAAACCCAAAAGCCCCACAACAGAAAAATAAACAAATCCCCAGAAAGTTGTCATAGCTACTTGCCTCTTGGCAATTTCTGAGCATTTCCCAGGTTTAGTGCAATATATCCACAGAAAAGAAGACAGACAAATCTTGACATCATGGTCACAAACCCAAACTCGCACTGGGAATGATTCTGACAGGTATCACACAAAAATACTGCAGCTGCATTTAAGTGAACTGTTCTCTCTGTGACAAGAGGCAGCAACACTTTGACACAAGCTTAGTTTACACAGTGGGAGGAGACAGGATGACATCATTCACTCCCACTGCAAAAGGAGAATTAGCATTAAAAAAAAAATAAAAATATTACCAGGCTCCCTCTACAATAGTCTTCTGGGGTTTGTTACAAGGTCTTTTCCATCACTAAGGGGAATAAATTACCATTTTATTACTTACATTGCATGCAAATAAAACGAGGAATATCAAACTTTCTATTAATTGAAAACTGATCTGAGAGATGTTTTACTGTTTTATCCAAGAAAGTTGGATTTAAACTGCAAAAATAGCATTTGCAGTACTCAGAAAACTGTTTGCTATATTGAACTCAGTATTTTTGCAATGTCGACATTTTGCTTAAGGTTAATTCAAGCTAGATATGGCATTCATCCAGGCAAAATAAATACTAGTTTAATTTGACATGACATTATAAACAGACATGGTAAATATTTATTCAGCAAAAGAACTGGATTTGAAAAATCAAAATGTCATTTTTTCACTTGTATCTGGTTTTTGGCAATCTAAAAATACTTTAGAATTTCCCCTTCCATACATATGCGGTGAGTCAATGGACACAATGCACATTGAAAATAATAAGACTATGCATCTCCTTCCAGGGGCTAGATCCTCTCAACAGTAACATAACTTTAAATGAAAAAGAAATTCCATTTCTCTATTAAAAGCTGTTTCATTCCATGTTTATAATAAGCCAACTAAGCATAGCATTTGTTCCCACCCACAAGTGAGAAGATGGGAAGAAAAGGGTGAAGCAGAAAAAAAAAAGGGTTACAACTGAGTAGGGAAGAATTTAGTCTCAGTATCTGGAAAACTTCCCAAAGAGATTAAATCTATTCAAGTAAGTAGTGATATCTCTCTCTCCTTAAAGAAAACACCCAAAAACCAAACAAGAAAAACCCAAAACACACAAAGAAAATAAAAAAAAAAGCCTAACAAAAAACCAAAATAAAACCCCCATCATTCAACAACCAAAATCAAACATACCTAGAACTTTACAATATGTAAAGTTCTTCAGTATGGTTGGTCTGTTCCCACTCCCCACTTGTCTGGACCTGACGTCGTTCTATTTTCATAGTGTTCTATAAACAGGGTAAATCACAGCATTGATACCTGGTCTGGGTGGAAACAAAGTAGTTTAAAATAAAAAGCTAATATATTAAAGCACACAGGAGCATTTCTTAAAAAACAGATTAATTCTGTATTTAAAAAGGCCCCATGTATGCCATAATTCAAGAAGAACTTCACAGCAGAAGCCAACAGTAATTGTCTTAGAGACAAATCCAAGGAATTTCAAGCTCTTCTAATCAATACGGACAGAACACAGTTATAACAAAACCAGTTTGACAGTGGAAATGTGTCCCAGCTGCATTACACCCTCTTAATTCTGACATAAAGAAACCTTTTTTTTTTTTATTCACTTACTCAAATCTGAGAATAACAACGTGAAAGTCAGTATTATAGACAGACCCAAAAAATCCCCAAACACTATTACCTCAAGGATCTTTGGGAGGATTCAGAATGTGAACACTCTGAACAGGTAAATGAAAGAGGTACCACTTAGATGACACGAAAAGATGTCTAAAAGCCACACAGTTGGACAGGAGTCTTCCAAAACGCCACACCAAAAGAGCTTCAAATGACAGAAAAATGAATACAGAGAGAAAAAGTTCCATTCTTCTTTTTTTTTCAGTTGAAATACTATTTTCTAAAAAGCCCCAGAAGTCATATTCTATTTTTTCTCTTCAAAATAAAAATAAGAAATCAAGCATTTGATGGAGCAGTCTCTCAGGAGAAATAATGGGAAAAATTCCTCCTTGGTCACACAGAGCTGTCTTTTGTATTAGCGTAAGCTGGACTCTCCTGGTTTCTCTTATGGCAAATTCACTTTCCTTTAAAAGATCACACAACACCTTTCAACAAAACACACAAAGGCCAACTTCTATTCACAAAAATCTCAGTGAAACACATGAGTCATTTGGCTACCTAACAACCTCTGTCATAGATAAATATGCTCCTGTCCCTGCTTTCACAACCACTTGCTTCTCTGCTCCTGTGCGTTATCTGACCATGTCTTCTCTGCTTAGGTACTCCATATAGACATTTAACCCTCCCCTTGAAACCATGGCAGACTATCCACATCCCTTTCTCTCTGATAATTCCTGTAGAATATAGCTCTTCTCAGTCCAGAGTTCAAAAACCCATGTCAAGATAAATTTCCGTCTGTCTTATCAAGGACATGCTTCATCAGGGACAATTACGGTTTGATAAACAGATGCAAGTGTAACTTTCAGTTAAATATATGCCAATAGTCCAAAAATCAGTAACATAATATTCTCCTACACTTTTTTCAATATACTGCCTGCATCTGCATCATCCATAGAAGATCCACAGATGATCAGTGATTTTGTCCACTTCTTTTCTTTTGAGACTAACCTTTCCTAGGAAACCTCTGTTACATGGGAAATGAAAAAACACATCAGCCTCTGCTTTCCTTTTTCCTAAATCCTCTTGCCATTCAGTGGATGTTGACTACTGCTGTGCAAACCAAAACATGGAAACAGAAGGGAGCTCCTGGAACTTCAAGCACTATCTGCACTACTGAATGCATCCATAATGCTGTTCAAGCACCCAATTTCTTCTCTTATTGGAGGGCTGGCTGACAATCTCTATTTAAACAGAGACAGAATTTTATTTCAGTTCACAAAAGTTATCTATACCAGTATGTTCCTCAGGTTTCTCTAATCCACACAAACCTGGAACTGCATTCCCCATCCTTTGGCCCTTCAGAAGGAAACTATTAAACAAAGATTCAGTTAATGACAGTTTTGTGTTATCCCTCTAGCACAGAAGGCAAGATGAATGAGCCAAATGCAGTAATGAAGAGTCTCAAGCAGAACAAATTTGTTCAGGAAAAGACAAAACACCTGATCCCCCAGTGACTCCTCCTCTTCAGCATCAAATTAATGGTTAGGTAACAAAGTCAAGTACTCAAAAACTTTACTTGCTTACCTCAACTTCAGCTGATTCTCTCTGGGGTAGATCTCAAAAATGAAGATTCCAACCAGATAGTATCACAGCTAGTCTGGGAACAGAACAGAGCTTTTCTAGTTCTATTTTAATAGTTCCCAGACCAGAAAGTACAGTGAAAGCAAGAGCAAGGGAAGAAAAAGAAAAAGTTGGGGGGAGGGAGAGAGGAAGAGCAGGAGACGGGATTTTACATTTTGTTTCCAAATATGAATATGTTTTTCTTGAGATTTGGGCTCAGTCCCTATTCACCTATCATTCCTGATTATTTTCACAAGCAAAAGCCAAGGTGACTCAACTCCTTGCTGTTCTAATTTAAAGCAGAGTGTGCAAAGCATAACCTTAAAAAACAAAATCCTATCTTCACTTTGAAAAGCACAATAACGTTGTGTGGAGCTCTCCAAGAGTAAGGACTTACTTGCAGTTCACTTGGTCTGTTTTTTTTTCACAGCACTGCTGGTTGATGCTATACATTTCACCAGTGCTTGTCAATTATTTGAGAAGTGTCTTTGTCATAAAATTTGCTATATAAATGTTAATTATAATTTTCATTCTCTTGTGTGTGACTCAATTATTGGATTCTTTTTCTTGTAATGTCATGGGAACTCCTCTAAAGGCCTTCAGGAAAAAAGAGATGCCAAAGAACATTCTTTCAGATGTGTTACTTAAAAAAAGAAAAAGAAGGAAAAAGAAAATCCTAAGTCTACTTTCTGAAAGTCTGCAATTACTTCTTTCCTAATACCTCATTGAATCTCATTTTGATAAGCAAACATTGAATGCTCATGCTATCAAAAATACAGGGTCACGTCTTAATCTATTATTCAAAGGTAATTTACATTCATTTAATAGCATAAAAATTACAAGGTCAGGGCATTCCAGCATCCCTATCCCAAACTGAGTTCCAGATCTCCAAATTAATGGGATCAGAGGCAAAGTGAAAGGAATAAATTCAGTGTAAAGGGATGGACAGAACAGCTGGTTCTTGTGACATTTTTTGCATAGTTTATCAAACTGTTTCAGCACTCAACCATTTGATACTTGTAGTTTCTAGCAGTGACTCATCTTTACTAACAGGCATTGTATTTCACCAAAGTTCTACATGACATGGAGTGAAGTAAGAAAAGCATTTATTTAACTTCTCTATTATTTATTGACTTATTGTTCCCTTTGTAACGAAAATAACCTAGTACACTCACTTCCGCAGTTTCGACAATATTATCATGACCTGCCACATGAAGAACCTATGTGATTTAAGGTTTTCAACTCTGCCACTCCTGCCCAATCTCAAGACTTTGTATGATGTTATTTGGGGCTTATTTTGCCTTTTAAAATTTCTTATCAGTCAGGTTTTGGAATGACTCCAGAGAAGGACTCTGCTCAGTCTGCACAGGCTCCTGCTGCAATGCCTGTCCATCCTCATGGGGAAAAAAATTTTTTCTCTTATAAGTCTAAACCTCCCTTATTTCAACTTGTGCCCATTTTCTCTTATGCTCCCACTATGCAGCAATGTGAGGAGCCTAGCTCCATCTTTTTGGCAAGCTCCTGAGAAGCACTGTAAGGGCTGCTGTTAGGTTCCCTCAAGCTGTCAGGTTCTCTTCTCCTGACTGAGCAAGTCCCATTCCCTCAGCTTGTGCTCCAAACCCTGACCATATTGCTTGACCTTCACTGGACTTGATCCAGTTTATTGAAATCTGTCCTGTATTTGGGGGTGGGGTGAGAGGCCAACACTGGATGGTATCTAGATAGGTGGTGAGTAGTGGGTGGCAATTACTTCCCTCAGTCTTCTGGGCCGTGTTCCTGTTCATACAGCCCAGGACACTGATGACCTGCCTTGCTGCCAGGACTCACTGCTGCCTTCGGTGCAGCTTTCTGTCCACCAAGATCCCCAGCTCCTTTTCATCAGGGCTGCTCCCTAACCAGTCCGTCCCCAGCCTGT